TCCCCAAAACACCAGGACAAAGGGGGCACTTCCAGGGGGGAGGATCACTGTCTTACCTGGATCAGAGTCTGCCTCTCAGCCTTGGGCAGGTTTTTAGCCTGGCGATCAGCCTCTTCCCATTCCTTTCTTACCTGGAGCCAGAGAGACACAGAAAGGAAAGGAAATAAAAATGTAAAGCAGCTGAGTATTAGAGTTGCACAGATCTGACCTCAGAAACAACTCGAGAGCCAAAAAAACAAAACAACCTGAGCCCAGTTGAAATGCATAACAGTGTAATTTTTCCTGCCTGTGTTCATTCAAAGTAGGTCCCAAACTGCCACCAGCCAATTTTTAACATGTAAATGAGGGAGAATAAAGTTTTATTGCACAAAGGTAAGATACCCTTATAGTATGACTTGCTCCTTGATATAATCCAAAAGCCTTTTCAGATTTTAAGAATACTTGCAACTTTAACAAGCCAACCAACTTCCATGTTTCGTGCCCTGAATTCTCTCAGGGAGCAGCTACTTTCAGCAGCACCCCAACAAGCTAAAGGAAATGTTACTCTTCCTTCAACTATAAAACATTATGAGTTCTTAAAAAATGTCTTTATCTAATGTTTCATCATTCTCCAAAGTTTATTGTAAAATAATGACAAAATGGGTCATGAACAGCATCACAAGTACTGAGAAAGACACTGGCAGCCACTTTTCCAACTCATCTCCTTTATACAGTAGAATAACTCATCTGCCTGACTTTCTATATAGTTTGTTCCTAATGAGGAAAATCAGTAAAGAACCACAGATGATGTGTTATGGTCATATTGTTCATTTGAGCAGTAAACCTTTCTTGTGTCCTGACTCCACCTGGTAACTCACCCTCTCCATGCGGTTGCGGTGCCTGATCTCCAGCTGCTCTTTAGCCTTCTGGAAGCGGCTGTGCTCCTTGTCATCAGCCGGGGTCTCAAAGTAGATGTCCACATCATCGGTGGGTTGAGGAGTCGGGGGAATGGCTGCAAATTCAGAAACAGACTGTGAGTGGCTTCACACTGACCACCAGGGAGACAGACAGAAACAGACAGACAGGTAGGCAGAGAGACAAAGACAGAAAGCTAGACACACACAAAGAGAGAGAGAGAGAAAGAGGGACTTTAAAGTAGAGCGCACATTAAAATCCTCACAGAAGCACTCTTTGCATTGGTGTTATTCCACTCTGAGTAACTATGATGAGTTATAGGAAACCTGACAGCCTCTCCTTTTGAATTCCTTTCATCTTCCCAGTGTCTTTCTGCTGACAGGTCGCGTCTCTAATTCTAATGGAAATATTTCCGTGTCTGACTGCTGGGTCATCTGGGGTGATGCCAGAGGGCTCTGTTTTAGGCTCCTCGCTTTACAGTCACGCAGGACTCAATCCTGGCTTTTGCTGCAACTCGCAAAAACAATAAAGCTCCAGGCTGGCACCCTATCATCTTACCCCCACATCAAAAACAGGAGGCATGGTTTAATGGATAAATACGTGCTTCCTGTTCCATACTTCACCACTTCAGCTCCTCAAGTCATTTTACTTTTGAAATGCAAAAGAAAAATCCAATTGGTTATGCCCATGAACTATGTTTGAACTGATGGGAAAAAAAGGTGCTTGCTGAGGTGCTGGTGGGGAATCTAGCAAAAGCAGTGGCAGTGCACTGTGAGCTGACAGACAGATGGACAGGTTGTTTACAGGCTGACAGACAGAAGCATGACAAATGGCAGGAGTCAACAGTGGCAGGAAAAGAAAAGAGACAACTGAAGAAACAGTGTTTTAGGTTAACATATGTATGAATGAACACTCAAGGAGATTAGTGAAGTGAATCTATAAATGTCATAGTCTTTGGATTTGCAAATTTTGGAATTTTCCACAGTTAAGCATTTATTTGCCAGTTCTTTGTAGTGATAGTGTAGTGATTTTTAAATCTTCAAATGATGCAAAATAAATGTTTTTTCCCCTTCACACTTTAACAGCTTAACTTTGTAAAATGTTCAATGTTACCCAAACAAGGGATACAGTACTAGTAAGTTACCTAAAGAAAACACTGTCTAAAATAGGCAAAATTATGACTAAATAAGAAAATCTGATCAAAGTTACCTGATTGTCTGGGTTCTAATGTCTCAACATTCTTCCAATTTTATTGCAAATAAAACCTAATATAAGCCTAATTTCTTTCTTTCTTAGGTGATTTTCTCCTGTCTGACATAGTTAAGCACTCCCTGTTTAGTAGAGCATTAAAACTGTTTGGATTGTGAACTGTTACCCTGGAAAAACAAGCAATATGAACATTCTTCTTTGGTTGTGAATAGTTTTTAGGCTGGACACAGTATCAGTGGGATACTAAAACCAAAGAGAATGATGCTGAGTGAAGCTGCTGTGAAGGCTGTAGTGGAGGTGATGTGGTCACCAGCTGTAGTGTTTTGATGAGTGAGAGCTGAAGACTGTCAGTGATGGACCAAACCTATATTATCCTAAAGTGTTTTCACCAGAGAGTCTGCAGCAAATACACAAACAAAGAGAGAGAAGGGTGTTGTCAAACCAGCCCCTGTCACGTGAGACTTACTCAGGCGCTTGCACACAGCCATGCAGTACTCCTCTGAATCGAAATTGTTGCGGTTGCCAGCGCAGCCCCCATATATGAAGCGCACACACTTCTTCTGGCTCATGTCGAAGTGCCAACGGGGCATGGAGGCACGACAGGGGCCGGTCTCAGCCTCTAGGGTGCACACCGCTGCCAGGGGACAGCTTGTTAGATCATCCGGCCACAAGGGGCAGCACTTATTCAAGTCTCAGTTACAAACACGTCAAATACTCCTTACCACTGCTCCATCTACAAACACCATTAAACTAAGCAAAACAATAAGAAGGAAGGAGCAACTGGTTTTGAATATGATAAACAGTTTGGCTACGAATGTGGCGAGATGATTTGTCCTTGTACTCTGATAAAGAAGAAAAGTACATCACAGTGTGTGCTTTGAGCTGAAGAAAAGGGTAAATGCAGATGTGTAAACTTACAGTCTGGTTGAAGTTTAAGCATACCTGCTTATAGTTTAAAAATTAAAAAGGATTGATTATATTGTATTTAAGTTAAAAACAAAGCAAGGGCCAGAGAGAGAGAGAGAGAGAGAGAGAGAGAGAGGAAGGCTGGACCAGGGGCCATTATACTGTAAAAGAAATCATTACAAACCTTTCACTTCCTGCAGATTTTTATCCTCATCTGGGCTCTGTGCCATTTTCCCACTCTCTTTCTTCTCATCCTCATCCTCCCTATCTGCTTCCTCATCCTCATAGACATAATGGTAATCTTCCTCATCTTCCTCCTCCTCTTCGTCCTCATCCACTGGCTCCACCTTCTGTGTGGGCTGTTCGTCAGCTGGTGTTGCACTGAGAAGAGGAGAAGGTGATTGAGTGAAGGGTGGAAGTCTGGAAGAGGGGTGATTTATCAAACAAGGCAGTGTGGCTGCCACAGGTCGGTGTCACGACACGTTCATTCATCCAGATGGCCAGCATTACCTGCCCTTCACATGAGCGTTGGTGTTAAACATGCAATATTTCACAGACTTGTCATGATCAAGAACGCAGCCATAGAATTTGCCCTTCACATATGCTCACCTGTCCTCTGCAGCGTCCTCCTCGTCCAGGTCGGTCTCATCAGTCTCCTCATCCTCTACCTCTTCCTCTTCATCATCCTCATCCTCCTGGGAAGGCAGGGAAGGCGGGGCAGACTCCCCGGTGTGAGAGGAGGGGCAGCACACGAACTCTGTGCCGTGGAACTTGTCAATGCCACAGGGCAGCAACATGCCATAGTTTTGCAGCACCATGGAACTCTTGGCACAGGCCTGACAGGGACAGAAGAAGAGCAGTAGTGATGAAATCTACAGGATGCGACTCAAAGCTCTAAATGTAGACCTCCTTGCCTGTAGATGTGTACAGTATGTCACTTTCCAGACAATTTTTGTATTATATAAACTTTGTCAAGCTCCAGGAAGACCAGGAGCCTTTCTGTGTGGAGTCTGCATGTTCTCCCTGTGCCTGTATGGGTTTTCTCTGGGTACTCCGGCTTCCTCCCACAGTCCAAAGACATGCAGCTTAGATTGACTGGCGACTCTAAACTACCCGTAGGAGAGAGAGTGTGTGTGTGTGTGTGTGGTTGCCAGGGTGGACCCCGCCTCTTGCCCAGTGTCAGCTTGGATTAGCTCCAGCCCAGGACGGATAGATGGATTTAACCTCATGAACTGTGTATGCACAGAACCTTATGATCGTATCTAACACTGCATTATTTACCATTATTTTACCAATCTTGGCTGCCCGGCCTGAGAGATGCCACCTGTTATTTTATAGTCTCTTGCAGTTATCTAACATAGCAACCTATCTATCCACCTACCAAACATAGTGACATAGACATAGTGATTTTATAGCTGCTATAGTTTTTGTGTCACTTACTGATGAGAATGATTAATGGAAAACACTTGCAGAAAGTCTGGCAGTCCCTGCACTGATATGCAATTTTTCAACATGCTGTGCTTCACATAGCAACTAGAAGGTACTGAGTACCGAGTGCAGAGAAACTCTGGAGCAGTGGAGGATTAGCTGCCCTGCTTAAGCACAGATCAGTGGCAGCTGGTGAGGATGGAGATTGTTTTTGAAGCACTTTTCTTATCCAGATATTCTCACTGCTAAAATTACTGCTTGGCTGTGACAAATTTGTTATTGACTGTAGGTCGTTTGTGCCCCTGGATGTCAGATGATACTCAGGTTCTGGCAGTTGTAGAGTCTGATGGGCTTGGTGAGCTGCTGCTCTTATTGTTGTGGTCAGAGTAGGCCCTGGGGCCATCTCTGGAGCTGCCTGGGGGGATTAGTTGCATTACAGTCACAACAGTAATCTGATTAGGAACTGAAATGTGAGGATCACAGTCAACCTGTGACCAGAGGACCTCAGAGACTCACAGAGAAAAGTGAGGGAAGAGTAATAAAAGTATGGCCAGTATAACAAAATTTGGCTAGTTAAGATGACTTCCTTTTCCCACAAGAACTTTCTTTTCCACCGCTCCACTATCTGTAACTTACAGCCTCCTACTGTTTCCTGTGAAGTAATTCCTTCCTTACCTCTTTGGCCACACCGTGCCACTGCTGATGGCTGACACACATGTCCATACGCTCCTTGTGGAAGAACTTGCAGTTCTTTGGAACCAGAAGCACATCACTCACGAACTCGCCCACTGTAACAGCGAATCACATGGACCGATATGCCTGTTAGTCACACTGCCAATCTGTCTACTAAACTCTGCTCACTGCTCACCAACATTGCTTGGGTCAGAAACATTAGCTCACCTACAGGGACTACAAAAGGAATAGCAGATGAGAGGAGAGCAAAAAGGGCATAATTCAATAATTCATAGCTGCCTGGTCCTTTAAATTTCATTACAACAATACAAGCATTTGACACTTGACCATATGCACCTGAAGCCGAAAGGGATTCATCCCTCCTCTATAGCACCTGTAAATCTGCAATCAAAATGGCAGAGGAGAAAATCAGGTTTCACACTGTGAATCTTTTCAGGAAGTCCACACTCTTCCTGTGAGTCAATGATATCATTTGCTTGATGAATTCAATTCAGAAATGTTTCATTCATAGAGCGATCTGACAGAAAGCACATCTGTCGAAAATAAAAGACCTGAAAGGGATCTTGCAAATTCCTATGAATAACTTCAGGTTGAAAACCATGTGCGTGTGAGCATATGGTGCAGGGGTCATATGAAAATTAAAAAGGACGCCTGTTGATAGGCTGGCAGTGTGTGGAGGTTCTCAGGTAGAAACACTGCCATCCAAAACAGATGGAGGGCCAGGCTGAGAGAGCCAGGGATGAACAGAGGCTTTAGAACAAAGTCCAGGATAAGATGAGCTTGGCTGAGGAATGGGTGGACTGAAAACATACAAATGAGGGTCTAAAGGGTTCATGACAAGGACTGGGAGCTGTCCTAGAACTGCTCATTTAGTGGTTCACCACAACCTGCTGGAGCGCTTCATCTGAGCCAGCGAGGCAGGCACACTGGGGGTAAGAAAACCATGTTTTGGAAAATGAGAGGGTAGGATAGGAAGAAGAGAGAGCTGGAAATAGCAGAGGACTCAGCAGCTGCTTCTCATCTCCGCCCAGGAGCTCCAGTAACACCTCCTCACACAGCCTGGGCCCCCAGTCCCTCATTCTCCTGCTTCCCAGGTTTGTGCCCACCACAGGTGAAAAGTGCTACAGTACTCTCCAAATTATCACTAGTTTTGAAACAGCTGATCATTCAGTTTGAGCAGACTAACAATTTTGATAAGTGAGTCATCATTATGGTGAAAATGCCAAACATTATTTTGACCCAGGATCCAAAATGAGAAAATAAACAAACATACACACAGAGAAATGAAACATGTTTGGCTTTTAGACTAAAAATGAATCTGGAAATGTCACCTTGGGCTCAAGGAAACTGTGACCTTTTTTGTTTGACATTTTAAAAATTAAAGACTCCTCTTCTTCTATGACTTCTTACTGGCTAAACTTTAGAGGGTAATGCTTGATTTTTAGCCAGTTCCTTTGACATATAATTACTTTAAGATTCAGACGTATGTTTAAGATATGGCCATCTTATAAGATAGGGTACATTGTTATAGTATGCCTAAACTACCCACAGCTTGATTGGATTTATAGAATAGTCCGATTCAACAAAATAACATGACATAAAACTCTGAAAGTGGCCATTCCACACAATGTTTTTATGCTTGATGTACTTTTACATAAGTAAAATCCCAAATTCATGACCTTTACATTCTTTGTAATGGAGCAATTTTACATTCTTTTATTGCAAATTTTGCCTATCTGAATGTCTTTTTCCACTGGGGTCTCTCTACCTCTAATTTCTCATTCTCTTAACATCTAGAGATAGAGAGAGAGAGAGAGCGTTTAGGCAAAAGCATCATGGCTCCCAGTAACACTCAGCTTCACATCCTGCACACCGGATGCTAACTGATTCATTCACTCACACACACACACCCTCTTTTAATTTCAGCTCTCTCTCTCTCTCATTCCCTCACACTCACAGGTTGCTTGGGTAGTGAGGTGGAGTGAGGTTTCAAGCAGATGCTCAGTGCAGTCACACTGCAGTTGGTGATAGATGATGGTGTTTGGAGAGCAGCTGCGCCTTGCTAGCACTCCTGCTCTGTTTTTTTTTCTGAGTGTGTGTGGCTGTGCAAATGTGTGAATGGCAGCGGATACTCCTCTTCATCTACTCTCTTCATCCATCTTTCCTTTAACCTTCCATCTATTAGACACTCTCGCTCACTCTGCAGTCCCCACACTGCAGAGGTAGGATGAATGTGAAGGTAGGAATGCACCAAATGTACCAATGATACCTTCAGTACCGGGAGGTGGTGAATTCAATTACACACTAACCAAGATCTGCTTGTCGACAGCATGGCTATTGTGTTTCAAGGGCTTTCCAAAGGAAGTTTAGGGTAATTAAATTTAAGGTATGAGATCTGCAGCTGCCATTAACATGTTTAGATCACTTACTAATTCCGTCTGTAAAAATATTTAACCACTTAATAATGAGGTCCGGTATATTAACATGCATACCTGAAGAGCTTGCATTATAGATGAAAAATCAGTTTTAAGTCTTCACAATACTGAGTTTTTCTGGAAAACAATAAATGTTTAAAAAAATTCTTAAACAGCATTTTTAAACATTAATAAGTTGGACACAGTTGTTGACTAGTGTTTGGTCTGAAAATAGTATCAGGCTCCAGACTTGTGCTTTGATTTATAGTAGTGTGGCTAATCTTTAGTTATCACAGATTGCACCTTTATGATCTCCCACCATGAAAGGATTATATGGAAGGGACATGACTAAAACCAGTAGGTAGCTGGAACTTGATGTTAAAGTAAATATTTAAAATGTCCTCGGTTCAATTCTCAGGTCTCACAAAGAACTATTTCATTGTAAGCAAATGTTAATTTTTAACCACAGGCAACACCTGTTCACCACGCTGCATTACTTGCTTCAGTCTCACCTTTAGCCGACTGTTCATGTACAGTATGTGAAATATGTGATACTCTCACATAATCTTATACATGTGAAGGAATGCAGTCACATTCTTGCCCACAGCACCGTGTTTCAAAGTTCAGACCTTACTTGTTGAGTGCAAACAGCCAGAGGTGTGGTGTTTGTTTCCATTAACAACTCAGTCACAATCACACAACTCAGCCTCTCTGTTGATGTCAGACATTTGCACTGTCCTGCTCTATGTTACATCAACAGACTTAGTCAACAGGGAAGGCTAAACATGTGTGACATCCTCCACTTCTCACATGAACACAACCTTAAAATACTTTGCTCCAGTCTGTGAAGTTGAAACTAGTTCAAAGGTCAAGAACAGATGAAAGAATAAGGCCCAAATAAAATGTGCCTGAAATAAGTGTGATTATTGAGAACTACTGATAATAACCAACAGCAGCTAAGGAGGCTTTGTTTACAAAACAAACTTGAAAATTATTAAATTTGAATTTGCCTTTTGAAAGATCCTTATAAATCTGTGCTTGCCTAGAAAATACTTTATTAGCTCACGTGCTCTTTTTCAGCAAGAAGCTGCAGCAGCAAAATCCCCCCACCCAAAAAAAAAGATTCAGTGACTGCTTTCACCTTCTCAGCCTTACAGACAATAATAAAAAAAGCCTCTTAATTAATCCTCTGCAATTTGACATAGACATCATGCTGCAGGGATTAGCGCACATGGAACAAAGATCACATTCATTTGCAGAGCTATTATCTGGGGACAGAAAACGCAGTGGGATTGCAGGGCTTTGCACGGACAGATGAGATACAGCATAACCCATCTCTCTGTTATTGCACCGATCCCCTTCCTTAGTGCTTGCATTATTCATCTAAACTTATTAACTTGACATGGGGTCTGGTCTGACCCTTTTAATGACATCCTTCAAGCTATAGTCCAGCTCCATCCGGTCTAGTTCCTTTACTTTGTTGATTCTACTATTATAATGTATGCTGATGAATATACGCCAGACGTTGTGATGTCCGTTTCTCTGGAACACTGTGTGAAAAACACAAATAATAAATAATTCAACAGCACTCTTCACTGCACTCGAGATGACAGAGGCCTGACAAATTATGGACTGGAGAGGTGAGGCACAGTGAGGTGGCAAAGGCACGTCGTGGCTTGTAACATATGATCAGACTCCTCCAATTAAGCCTTTAACATGCTCCATTACATAATTAAGCAGAAACCCTGTCAAAAGCCTCCCTCTTGCCAACACCTTATGTTTATCTCCTTCTCCATCTGTCTTCTCTGTTCTCTCTCTTCAGGCTCCTCATTTGCAACCCAGTAGAGTAGCAGAGAAGGCCTCTGTAATTTGATGGGGCACAGGTTCCCAGACCTTTAGCAATGATGACAAAAAATGTGCAAGAACAAGCAATGAAGCTATTTAATTATTCCAGAAGAGGTAATGGGTTTGTTTGAATTAAATGGCGCTCGTGTCACTGTTGCAGAATCATAATGACTGATGCAACAACCAGCCACAGTGAAGACAGGACAGCAGAGGTTATCAGGTGTGGCAGGTGCACGGAGAGAAGTGGGTTCAGGGTGTAGGATGAGAGCAACCTCATGGAATTTTGGCAACTGATTCTGCCTGTGAACCTTTCTCATCTGTATTCCAGTCTCAGCCATCGAGTGGCCACTCCAGTTGTGGTGTTTGCTGTCCCATGAATTTCCCAAAAGCCTCCTCTCTGCATTTGCCAAAAATGCTCTTGAATGGTAGCCCATTTCACAGTCCAGTGCAACTACTAATGGCTTTTTCATCTCAGAAAGTGGCACAACTCAATCAGTTGGAGGCTGGCCGGCAGGGTAAGGGTGCCGGGAAATGTTTGCAGTATAGAGGAAAATGTTTTTTTCCTTCCTGACATACAGTAGTTGGACAAATACAGGGAGAAGCCTTGTTTCAGAACTCTGTCTCTCTGTCATTGCAATCCTCAGAGGGAGCAGGACCGTGCTCTATTTTTGTAAGTCAGGGGACACAGGCTGCAAAGTCGGAGGGTCTGTTTGACATTTAATACACCACAATATAGCAGTGTTGCTACTGCTGATTACAGTGATGCTGCAGGCGACAGAAGAGGAGGAGGAGCTGTGTATGATGGCACAGGCGAATGGAGAAATGGGGAGCAATAAAGCAGGCCTCCTCACAGACCTTCCTCTTACTGACCCTGTATGTCTGTGTGAGTTTATGACCACTGTCTGAGGGGGGAAATAAGATTGTGCTTTATTGCTCAACAAGCCTTCCCAGCAATAATGACTCCCCCCCTAGCTCTCTGTTCTGAGAGACATTAGCTCCCATCCAGCCTGGATCTGCTCAATCTGCAGCTCAAGGCCAGGATTAGTGAACTGAATCAGACTCCAGCTTTGCTCCATGCCACCTCTGCGTATGGCTGAGATAAATCATAATCTCTTCTGTCTCTACACTGAGCAAAACACTACCATAGAAGAGGGGGGACAATAGGGAACACCCGATATGAAAGGCAATTTGAAGCCTTTGAAGTGGTTTCTCCCAGCCCTTGAACTACTTATTAACGCACAAGCTTACCTAAGCATTTGTAAGGCACCACAATGTGGGCGTGCCCTTTACACACTTTCTTCTCCTTCTTGCACCAGTTCTCAATACGAATCGGCTGGTTGGCTTCCACAACATTTGTGATTTGGAGCTCGGGATACATCTGTTGGAAGAAGAAGCAGACAATGTATATTAAAAATGAAAATAATTTGTTATGTGCTTCTATATGTGTGCACAAGTGTGTGCAGAAGTGAGGAGGCGTGATAAGTCAAGCTTCAGTGGGATCCTTTAATCCATGCTTCATGCTCTCTAGTTGCCATCTGCTCAACCATGAAAGAGCACACAATTTACACTTTCCCAAATGCCATCAAAATGTCATCAATAAAAGCAACTGAAGCTTATGGGGGAAAGTTGCTTGAAAATGTAGAACCCTGCTTTTTTCTTAGACAGCTGCATAATAAACCATGATAGTAACAGCAGCAGCCTCCCGGGTTAGAAGATACAGCAGGAGGAACCAGTAAATAAGACCGAGGATATCCACGTTGTGGAAAAACACGCCTGTAATTGTAAGACGTCTGGAGAAAATGACAGTTGCAGAATCTACTAATTGAAATGCCAGCCATCATACTGAAAACAATGTCTGTCTTTCAGGAACAGCTCAATAGCCTCGCTAATGAAAAATCATAATGAGATGAAAACTGCCTTTTTCCAACATCCCCTCAGCATAGCACACAACCTATTCAATAAAAAATGTCCACATATTAACCTTTTTTTTAGCTTGTATTATTACTATACATCATAACAGAAACATGTCACATCTTTGCTGCATTACTGTAAAGCTACTTAGCTGAACTAAAGTGTCCTCCACAATGATGTGATGAAATTATACACTAGAGCAGCACAGGATGGTGCAGCCTTTGAGGTATAATTTTACTGTAATTACTTTACCCTGAACTTAAAGGAACAGTACAACAGTTTGGCAAATGTGTTAATTTCCTTTCCTTTAGATGAGAAGATGACAGATTTTCAGATTTGTTTGTCACTTAATTATGATTGGGTTGTAGCTTAATTAACAAGTAACAGGGAGAACAGTTGTGTCAGTCTGAACACCATAAAACTATATTTAAACTAAGTCTAACATTTTAAATCACAAATTACCAGACCCCTGTTACATCAAGCTGAAAGTAAAAGAAGGATAATGAGATAGTTTCAAAAAACATCCTGTACTTCTGCTTTCAGTTCCCCCTGAAGTATTTGCATAGGCTGCATCTGTGCTGACAACCCACTTTGTCTCTACCCTTTTCTGACTTTGGTACTTGAATTTCAACACTTCTATGAGACTGATAGGATGGAGATTAAAGGCATGTTTGTGTCACAGTGATTCACCTCCTGGCAGTACTGCAGCACACCGTCTTTGGTTCCTATGCAGCTTTTGGTTCCGGATGGATCGGGTTCCCAGCGGCCGGTCTGAATGTTAACATGCATGTTGAGCTTCCCACAGAACATCGCCACCTGTGGCTCGGCCACAGCAAACCCTGTGCCTGCATTGGCTGCTAGTGCCTGCAGAAAGACAGAGAGAGACAGAGAGAGAGAGACAGAGAGAGATCAGGCAATTAGGGTTAATGCACTTGATCATTATACGGCTGATAAAAGCTGGAGAGTATTCTTTCTGCCAGACTTGAAACACGCTCTGCTCCAGTCACTTCTCTCATAAACACCATTATGAACCAAACACAGGAGCCTGGTACTGTGAAGTCTGAACATAAAACAGGGTTAGCTCAAGCACTGCAATGAATAACTATACTGTAGAAGATGTGATGGAGCTACACCAGTACTGCCTGTCAATGCTTGGCTGCAGCGGCAACACAATGCTGCAGTGCTGAGAGAGCAAAAAGGAGACAAATTAACTGCACCTTGGGAAAGTTTGGCTGGGTTGATGGTTAAACGAGTAGGGGTTAGATGGGAATTGTGCACAAAGCTTTCTGCCCTGATGCCCACTGAGTGACTGAGAGGCAGCACATAGAAAGCAGGAGAGAAAAAGAATGAAACCTGCAGCCTGTCATGCCTCACAAACCAGGACATTCCTAGATGAGAGCAGAGCTTTACTCATCCAGACCTCCAGGGACTGAAATCTTTCTGCAATGGGTGGATGATTTACTTTTCAAGGTAAACACTGATGGTTTCAAATCCAGTATCAGCTCAGCTGTACAGACACATAAGAACAAAAACAATATGTTCTGAGATACCACAGCATTTATTACATATTTCTGGGATTTTTAAAATCAGTTTCTTATCTTTGTTTATCTCTCAACCATTTGAACAGGGGAACAAATCTGCCATCTTCCTCCTGACATTGTCCTTCCTATTATCATTTATTATGCCGTCACTCCTTCAACAAACAGGAACCAGGAACAACCAGTCTGTCCGTCCCCTACTCACTATAAAAAGGGACACTAATTGTTCAAACTAGTGTGTAATCAGCTTCAACTTGATTGCATTTCAAGTGTCTCTGTGTAGTTCTAGCATCAGTCAACTCATCAGCTCACTGAGACAGTAAGTCATGGCCTGCTAACATTTTGCCTAATGTTAGGGGTGTCACAGCATGTGAAACTCTAATGAGTCAGCGAGGCAGTGCAGCTCTGCATGCCAAACTATCCCAAAGCACACACCAGGGAGCCTCCAAACAGGAAGTGGAACGGAACTGATGCCCTCTTGATTGTCATAATGTCATCGGACTGAGTAAACAGGCTTCATCCCCAGAGAGAGAATGAGCAAAGACTTTTGGACTCAAATGTCTGCTTGGTCCTCAGCCTTGAGGACACAGAGACAGAGGTGTTTTCTGCAGCTGAAGAGAGAGACTTGAGTTAGCAGTGTGTTAGACAAATCTCTCTGTCTGATTCTGCACAGGCTCCCAGGCTGATAATAGGCAGAGAACAGAGCAGAGTGAGGACAAAACAAGTGCTGTGTAATCAGCAGTTGGCTGTAGCGTGTGATGAGGTGCAGAGCCAGCCAGAGCTGAGTGTGCACGCACACACAAACAGCTCCACGCACACATACAGTACATACAAGCACACCGGTGCCTATGCACGTTGGTGCTAACACAAATAACACACAGTCATGAAATGCACAAAGAACATTCATACAGTTCCACAGGCACATGTTCATCCATGTAGACAGTAAACAGGCACTGGAACATCTTGATCTTGTCCTATAGAGACACAACAGCCTCAGATTCAACCTCATTTCCTTCCTCCATCTTAGTGCCTTTGTCCTGCTCCACTCCTCCCTCTCTGCACCACCACAGGTTTGTTTGTTGTCCTCCCTCTCATCACTTGGTGAGATTGGCTTGGGGTGTATGAGAAGCAGAAAGGAAATGAAGGATGTGGACAAGCATGTTAGGAAAGGGAGTGACAACCAGACCACAATTAGACACTGCGGCTATGGAGAAGTAAGTGCTGCGGCTGTTCCGTCATCCTTTTCACTCTACTGAAGTGATAAAGTCTCAGCGCGTCTTTAATTTTTCAAGTGCAACAATGGCACTGGAGGCAGAGTGGAGGCGGTTAATATCACTGCCTTAAATCTGCAGTCACATGCCTGTTTGGTACTTAAGAAAATAGTTACTCCAGGCCAGACTAGCACAGAGACAAGCATCCATGGACACCAGCAGAGAGCACAATATGTGGCACAGAGACTCAGGAGGGCATGAGGGGGAACAGCAGGGCAGACAGACTTCCCCTGTACGTGGTCCCTGTATCATCTTGCAAAAACAGGCTACTGACTCTAGGAGACATAATCAACTTTGTTCTTTGTCCTCATCTCGAAACTGACAGAATGTTTACTTGGTCAAGATTCATTCTTGGATAATTATTTCTAGACCAGCTGAGCACACAACTGGAGTGTCATCGTCAGACAAATGTTTACATCAGCCAAGGCCGATTTGGTCCACTGGCCAGTGAACGCCGGCGAAATGGGATTAGAAAAAGACAAATGAGACGAAAGAGAAGTAACTCTGAGACTCAGAAGGAGGCTATAAATCGATACAAACTGAGAGCTACAGTTAGCTGTAGATCAGACCAGTTTTGACCATGCTTTTCTTTTTTACTGCGATGTGATGGAACTGAATTTCTCCTTAAAGGTTACATGAAATAACTTGACAGTAATGGGCTTTCACAGTTTGTCGCGTTTTCACATGAAACAGAAGTTCAGGGCAGGACTTCATGCCAAGAGTGGCTCCATTTTAAAGTTCAAAAATAGGCAAAATCATGCTGAACCAAAACTCCTAAACAATATTGCATTAGCTGGTAAATTTGTTCTGATTTTGGTGTAGCAGTGACACACACAAACACACAGGAGAAGTATGCTGCCACACCTAACAAAGGCCAAGTCACTGAGCAGCCATCTCTCATTACTGACTCACCGTGAGATATTATATCATGTAAGTGTGAACACCTGCTGCTTTGTGGAGGATGAGCCAGTCAGAGGCAGAGACAAAAGAGGGAGAGAGGGAGTGGAAGTTGGGAAAAGGGAGAGGCAATGTGACGAGGAAAGCTCAAGCAACCAGAGTAAATAGGCAACGACAGCAGGGAATGTATGCAGACTGGCTTATGTCCCGGCTTGACATATTATTTTTAAATGAATGCAGACTGTAATGCAATAAAGAATGGCGTGAGGCAGCGTGAAAGCGGGGGAACCAGGCCTGCCACCACAGACGCTTGTCAAAAGCTGTGTGGGCTGTGG